GACGGGTCAGGTCCGTGGAGGAGAAGTCCCGTCATCCCACCCCGGCGCCAGGTTGTTCCCTTCTCGTCTGTGTCTCCCGCGGGTCCGGCGGTGACGGGCCCTGTGCGCACACTGTCTCCCCACGTCGACGCCCCTCAGACCCACAAAGAACCATTTGGGCAGGAGCCTGTGCCGGGGCACAAGGGGCGGGTGGGCGGGGCCAGGGTCAGCTCTCACCCTCTGCTCCCCCTGCTCCCCCTGCTGCAGGCTTGGGTTTGTCGCTCAACTTCCAGCCCTCGCTCATCATGCTCAACCGTTACTTCAACAAGCGGCGCCCCATCGCCAACGGGCTGGCGGCGGCAGGCAGCCCCGTGTTCCTGTGCGCCCTGTCCCCGCTGGGGCAGCTGCTGCAGGACCACTACGGCTGGCGCGGGGGCTTCCTCATCCTGGGCGGCCTGCTGCTCAACTGCTGCGTGTGTGCCGCGCTCATGCGGCCCCTGGAGGCGCCCCGGGCGGGGGCGGGGGGGCCCGGGCCTCAGAGGCCAGCCAGGCGGCTGCTGGACCTGAGCGTCTTCAGGGACCGCGGCTTCGTCATCTACGCGGCGGCCGCCTCCATCATGGTGCTGGGGCTCTTCGTGCCGCCCGTGTTCGTGGTGAGCTACGCCAAGGACCTGGGCGTGCCGGACACGCGGGCCGCCTTCCTGCTGACCGTGCTGGGCTTCGTGGACATCTTCTCCCGCCCCGCCGCCGGCTTCATCGCAGGGCTCCCCAAGGTGCGCCCCTACTCCGTCTACCTCTTCAGCTTCGCCATGTTCTTCAACGGGTTCACTGACCTCACGGGCTCCACGGCCAGCGACTACGGGGGCCTGGTGGTCTTCTGCGTCTTCTTCGGCATCTCCTACGGCATGGTGGGCGCCCTGCAGTTCGAGGTGCTCATGGCCATCGTGGGCACCCACACCTTCTCCAGCGCCATCGGCCTCGTGCTGCTGCTGGAGGCCATAGCCGTGCTCATCGGGCCCCCGTCCGGAGGTGAGCTGAGCCGCGGGGAGCCCTGGCCAGACCCTGGTTCCAGCACTGGCCCATCCCGGGGAGGGGACTCGCTGGGGGAGGGTCCTGAGCAGGAGGAGGCCCTCCCCCTGCCTGGCCTCGCCAGGCGACCCCCACCCCCCAGCCTCCAGCGCACAGCCAGCAGGTGTCGGGAAGGCACGGGACGCCGGGGTGGGGGCCAGGCCATGCTGACACTGTCCCCTCCGCAGGCCGCCTCCTGGACGCCACGCATGTCTACCAGTACGTGTTCATCCTGGCCGGGGCCGAGGTGCTGGCCGCCTCCCTGGTGCTGCTGCTCGGCAACTTCTTCTGCATCGGGAGGAGGCCTGCGGGGGCCACCAAGGAGGGCGAGAGCCCCAAGCCCCCTGCAGACCACAGGGACAACAGGGACGGGGTGGACTCAAGGGAGGTGGAGCACTTCCTGAAAGCGGAGCCTGAGAAGAAAGGGGAGGTGGCTCACACCCCGGAAACCAGCGTCTGAGCGCGGAGCGGCGGCGCGCAGGGAACCGGACGGAGGCTGTCAAGGTTCATATTTATTTCACAAACAGGACTATCTCAGGCTGGGGGGCCCCCAGCAGGGGATCGTCACCTGATCAGTTTCTCGGGGGAGGTGGCGGGTGGGAACCGTGTCATTCCAAAGCAGATCTGTGGTGAAGCCAAGCCCCAGGTTACAAGCCGTCGGCACCCGGCACCCGGCCTGCTGACCCCAAGAGAGCCCGGTGCCCACAGCTGGGCTCAAGGACCTAGAAACCCACCCTTCGGAGACTTTAATCAGAGGGTGGGGCCAGGCCCTCCCTCCCTGACTGCACCCACCATGCCCTTCGCCACCCTGAGTGTCTGGGGACAGCTCCCTTCTGCTCCCCTGGTGTCTGGAATAAACCTGCGTGTAGGAGGAGCGGAGTTTGGCTTGAGGTGTGGGCGTGGTCTACCGCTCCCCCCAAATCTCACTTTCTCAACAAACAACAAAGTGAGCCTGGACCCCAAGGGCTGCTGGTCGAGGGCCCTGCGCCGGCACCTGGGAGCCCCTAGGTGTGACCACTGGGTCCTGCCTTCTATGTACTCACCCCTCAGGGGACTGCCTGGCCCTATACAGTCAGCACCCGGGGTCCTATCTGTTCCCCGTCCAGCCCTGCGAGCCTTGCCCAGGTCCCTCACACCCACCTGCCCTCATGGCCAGTGCGCCTGCGTGGCTGGGAACCCGATCGGAGGCCGCTGGGGCCGCCTCAGTAGGTGGTGCGTCGAGGGCGCTGGGGCCGGCAGCGGGTGCCCTGGCGGGCCGAGTGCAGCCGGAGAGACGCCACGTCTCTGCTCCTCTGCAACGAAAAGCAAGCGAGGGCTCACCTCTGGGCTCGGTCACCAGGACAGGACACCGCCCGGGAGCTCGGTGCCGCGGCCAGGCACCTCCCCGCAGCCCCGCAGGCCCGGGGCCCTGACGAGCGGCACCCTTTCTGCTCCCCCTCGGCCGGCACTCCCAGGTCAAGGCGCAGCCCTACCTCTATGACCTCTCGTGTGAGGTGGGCCAGATTGGGCCCTGGGCAAAGCTTGTCAGGTCTGGAAGGGCCGCCCCAAGGCCTGTGGCTCAGCAGCCGCCTGCCCTCTGGGCTGTGCACCCCACTCCCTTCTCCCGCGGGGGGCTCGGCCTGCCTACTGTCACAGGACTTCCCCGGGGCTCACTCATCAGGACTGAGTGCCCCCATGGACTTCCACCTCCCTCTCGCCCTGAGGTGCCTCACCCCTGCTGGCCAGGAGCAGCAGAAGTAGCCGTACCCACCCCTGGAGTCATACCCTGGGGACACTAGGAAGGACCCTGAGGTGCTCAGCACATCTGGAAGGCTCAGCTGGGCCGGGTCCACGTGCCCTGCCGGCCGTGGCCCCGAGAACGGGCCGATGCCAAGTGCAGCAGCCCCGTCCCAGCCCATCCGCCTGTTCCCCAGGCTCACAGGGGCCCAGGCTCAGAAAGTGACCTACACACGGAAAACTCACGCTGACGAAATAAAGACCACATGCTGGGGACGGGGAAGAAAGGTAGACGTCATATATTTATTATTTACATGGTGTGGTAAGTACACAAATACAGTGGTCACACAAATGCACAGGTCAGACACCACCCACACGGGCTGCAGACACTGGCTCGTGTGGGGGCGATGGATGCGACACTGTCCGCGGCCAGTGGGAGGGCTTGGGTGGGGTGCCGCGGCTCACACCTCCGGAGGAAAGCCCCCTGCCCTGACTCCCCCGCCCCGGCCACGTCCCCCAGCGCCTGCAGGGCGGCCAGCTGTGCGTCGGTGCACCCACCCACGCCGGGCATCCCAGGACTTGGGGCAGGAGGGACATGGACCTGTACACCTTTAAAGGCTAATAGCGTCCTACGAGCTCCCCGTTTCCCACACCTCTGCAGGGGGGACAGGGAGTACAAGTACCTACGAATGTTTGCATTGGACCCCATTCCGAGACGGGGCTCCTGTCTACTCTGCCACCGCCTGGGGCCTTGGGAAGGGGCCACGGGGAGCCCGGCCCCCTGAGTGTCTTTCTGGCGAGAATGAGGCCGGCCCTGCCTGCTTCCGTCCTCTGGGTTCAGAAAGCAGGACACACCCTCCTGGGCCTCAGGTCACGGATCACTTGCTTCTGGGCACTTGAGAGGGGGCTCCCTTGGGCCGGCCTCTTTCTGGGCAAACCTGCACCCCAGGTGGACAGATGTTAGCACACGTTAAGGGCCATTCTGCACTGCTAATATTTACAGTCTGTCTAGAAAATGCCCCCAAATCCAAAGGCATTGAGGCAACAACCACCAGCAAAGTAACCGCACACAACCCAGGAGCGCCCGGCGCGGCCTCCGCCTCCGAGTCTTGGGCACTGGGTCCTAGGCACCTGGCGTCCGCTGCCGCGTCTGGGAAGGTGGGATCGGTGCTCGGCTCCGCCAGAAGCACCACGACGCCCTTGCTCTCTAATGGCTCTGACGACTCGAGTCCTGGCGGCTCAGTTACGGTGGGAGGGAGTGATGGCCAAAACCAGGAGAGGTCACAGAACACAGCACACAACACACGCACAGACATGTTACACACGTGTACACGTGACAATTTCCGGGAGAACACCCCCCTACAGTGGACTACACCAAACAGAAGCAGGAAACATCGCCGGCAGCAGGGTGCCCGCGCCCACCTTGGTCTACAGAACTCCACGCCGGTGTCTGAGGCGGGACACTTTGAGGTCATCTTTTTTAAGACCGCAGAAACAGACAAGAACAATAAAAAGATTTCTTTACACAGATTTAAGCCAGTAATTTTTAGCAAAATGATACAAAACTGTCAGAACCAAGTAGAAGATGGTGGTTACAGCAGACTCATCAGGGATCGCGGGCGCCACCGCGGCAGGGAGGACCGAAAGGCTCTGCATCGGGAGTCTGTTGTCTCAAGTGTCTCGCACTCAGGCGGCCGTCTTCCCAGCCCCGGACAATGTCCACGTGGGCCTCAGTGGAGCCCGGCGGTGGCAGCGCTTGGAGTCTGTCCGGTTAGTCTGTTTGGTTTCCCCACGGGCGTTGCTGGGTGGGTGGCCTGGAGAGCGCCCGGTGTCCTAGCCCGGGGAGCGTCACTAGTAAAGCCATGTAACAGAGGAGATCAGCCATGCATTGTCTGCCCTTCACAGCAAAAAGGAGTTCTCATCGGTGCACGACAGACTGAAGACCACTGGAAGCCACCCGACCGGGAATCTGTCGGAGCCAAAGCACAGGACAAGGTCAGCGTGCGGCCGGAGGGCTGGACCGGTCGGTCAGTGAGGTGCCCTGGGAGGAAGGGGACAGACGCCGCCTCGCCCACTCTGGACGCCCGTGCCCCCGGCTGCTCCAGGAGTTCCCTCTGCGGCCAGGACGTGCTCAGCAGAACAGCGACAGGAGACGGAAGAGGAAGAGGCATGCAGGCGGCCGAGAAGCTCGTCAACGACAGGACAGAGTCCAAGCGGGAGAGACACTGGCTCCCAGCCATCCCCCCAGTAGCCTGGGGGCCAGGCCTCATGGGCACTGGGGTCCCCCCTCCAGGGGGAGGTACAAGCAGTTCCCATCGAGATGGTTCCTAGAGCACCGCAGTGTTAAAGCCCCAGCAGGTCCACATGGCCCAGCCGCCAGCCCCCATCCAGGGAAGGAGCCGCCCAGCGTGGCCCAGACAGGAGCCCAGCCTGGGCGCCCAGCCATGCACGTCGCAGGGAGCAGCGCTGGGCGACGGGTTAGTACACACAACAGCAGAGACAAGGTGTTGGGCAGAGACCAAGTTCGAAAAGAAAAAGAAAACGAGGAAGACAGAAATGAGCGTGGAAGGAAGCCAGGACTGCGGAGACCACAGGACTCTCCGCAGCAAGAGCACAAGAGGCCCCACCCAGCGCGGCCACTCAGCTGAGCACGACTGACGCGATCCGACAACCGACCCTGGAGCCAGCGGCTGGAGTGTCCCCGGGCCACTGGAGCCAGCGCACCTGCCTACAGAGCCCGGGTCCGGCTCCCCACACAGCGGCAGGTCCTGGGGTCACCCATTCAGGGGCCCCTACAGCCTGCTCGCTCCTCACCCCCCGACTGGCTCTGACCACAGTTCTGGAATCCACGAGGGAAAGCACTGGCAGAGGGACCTCGCTCTGCAGCACCTGGCATGCAAGACCACGCCCACCTGTGTGCTCCCGTGGGCGAGGGGCCAGCCCGCCCGCCCTGGTGCCTGCTGTTGGAGAGACCGGCCATGAGCACACTCACCCAGTGCTGCCTTCCACCGGGAGACGTGCAGCTACTTGCCGTGGTGTTCGAAAGGAATGCTATTCTGAGGTGGGGGGAAAAGACAGCTGTTGGTAAGGGAGCCCGGCTGGCCCGCAGGAGGCTCCTTTCCGAGAAGCGTGGCCTCGCCTCCACCAGCACTAACCGCCCAGGAGCTCAGCCTCACCTGCCCCCAAACAAGAGCAGACAGTGGCTCCTCCAGGAGGACCTGCACTAAGGCCGACGGGGCTGGGGGCAGCGAGAACGATGCACAGCTGCCGGCCTGTCACTGCTCGGAGCAGCCTGTGCCTCCCGACCACACACGTCCGGACACACCTCCTCACTGACACGGCGAGGAGGGACCTCCCTGGGTGGCGGGATGTGGGTTAACACGGCCGCGCAGCACGCGGCCCGGAGCCAGCGCTACCCACCAGCACTGCTGGCCCCAGGGAACGTCACGCACACGCTCCTCCACCAGACGCCCTGCCCGCAGGCTCCCTGTGAGCCACTTGCACTCCAGGGACAGGGATGCAGGGCCGGCCCCAGGGGCTGGTCTAGCACGGCTCCCGTGAGAAGGAAGTGGGTGCGAGGAGCGGCCACTGCACTGTGAGTGCAGGCTGGCCAGGGGTCAGGACGAGGGACACGGGTCGACACCCCACACCCAGCCGGAGAGGGGCAGCAGGTCTTGACCGGCGCGCTGACGACGGCACTGAGGCCCTCCCTTCCTGCTGAAGCTGGGCCGGGCGCATGGGCACCAGGTGTGCCTCTTCCTGGAGGGCACAGAGATGCTGCCGTGGAGGAGGCAGGCGGACACACGCAGGCTGCTTCTCCTTCACCCCCTTTCTTTGGGGAGCCAGTGTGGTTGGAGGCTATAACATCATGGAAGCCGGGACTCCACTCCCTCCATAACTTCCAAACCACCAGGGCAGACGGGCAGCCCCGCCCTGAGTCTCAAGCTGGCCCTCAGGGGCCGTTCAGAGCTTCCCACAGTGACCAGGAACCCGAGACAGACACGCCTGGGACGGGGCGTGTCCTCCACATGAAGATCCTGAGAAAACCGCTCGGGTGACCAGTGACAAAAGCTGAGGTGCTGCCTTTGGAGGGGAAACACACCCCAATCAAACCTCTCAGAGACCCTCCCTACGCACAGGTCCACCTTCTATTCCTCCAGATGGAGACAGAACAGGAGCGCAGAGGATCCGAGTTACAAGCTCGCCCGGCGGCTAAGCCTTCCAGGATGGCTGCGGAGCTGTGCCCGGCGCACTGGAGGCCAGCGGTGAGGCCGGCCTGATGGAGAAAAGCTGCACCCCCACCTGTAAACGCCTGGCACCTGGGACCTCTGACTCCTCCATCTCCTCAGTGACCCCGAACCCATCAGACACTTTCTTAAGAAGGTCGGCCTGCTCCTTCCTTGGTCTTTGCTGGCTGGGTCCCCAACATGCAGACGCTGAGTCCACACAGAGCCCCTGGCGTCCCTGCCAGAGCTGCCCGGGGCCACAGCGCCACTGCACACGCAGGTGGGGTGGACGGCTCCCAGGACCTGCTCCGGCTGCTGACTCATGGATTCCAGGGCTCCTGGGAAGGAGCCCCGAAGCCCTGCTGCATCCTGAGGAGAGGGAGGAGGGCGGGGACCATCACCCCGGCCAGACCCCTCCAGCCCCACGTTCAAACCACCTGCATCTTCAGTCTCTGGAGAACTAGGCCCAGAGCCCACCATGTCCAGCAGGGTCACTAGTTGGAGGTCAGCTCTGCCTCCGTCGGGCACACCTGGTCCTCTGCCAGAGACCAGCAGGCCCCGCAGCTCTCCAGCCACCATGCCCACGCCACCCCATTCACCAACAAGCCACACCCCAAATCCACCAGGCCTGGCCGTGTGGCCCGGGAGCTGACGTATACACCGAGGTGGCATCACAGTGAAGCAGAGGGCCACCTGCACCCGACTTCCCCCCAGGACACCCCACAGAACGGTCGCGGGAGCAGGGGCAGGTTCCTGACGCCTGACCACCCTTGTCATGGAAGGGGACCCTGGCAGTACTTGAGGGAAAAAGCTGTTGTGTTGAGAGATCTACTTGCAAGACAGAACGGCCAGAGGGAGACGCGGAGGACAAGCACACAGGGCCGCCAAGACGGGGACCCTCACCCACGCACGTCACCAGGTGCTGGGCCCCAACAGGCCTCTGCCCACCACCCCACGTGACTGCCAGCAGCCCCTCCCCTGGCCAGACTCGGCCGGGGAACGCCTAGCCAAGGAGAGGAGAGCCCAAGGCTGGGTGTGCCTACACGACACCCAGAGCCCGCGGGCGCAGCGCGGCGAGTGTGCGCAGGGGACGCTGAGCCTGAGGCCAGCTTGGGCTGGGGCAGCAGAAGAGAAGAGGCCCCGCTACCTGTCCCGCGCGGCGGAGACGCGCCCGGCACCCACACAGCTGGTCTCAGGGGCTCTCAACCCCAGGGGCGAATAGCAGCCAGGGGCCAGGGCACCTCGTCAGCTCAACCCTGCCCTCACCCACCCCGCCCGGAGCCCATAGACCAGTCCAAACAGAGAGAAGCCTGGGCCAGTGTCCGACCCCGGCAAGCTGGCGCGCATACCTGTGAGGTGGACATGCGGGAGGTATCTTGTCGGCCCGTAAGATCCGACGAGGAGATGTTGACGGGGGCGCCACGGTGCAGCCGCATACTCACTTTCCGCTCTCTTTCCATGCCGGACACGGGCCGAGGAGAGGTGTTAGCTGGAGGAGAGGCGGGGAGTGAGGCCTCCTGACACTCCATCCAAGGCTGTCCCGCACACAACCCAGAGCAGCCCAGGCGGCCTGCCCCACCTGCATCCCCCTGGCTATCAGGGCAGCACAGGCAGGTCCCCCAGCCAACACTCGCCTCGCCTCCCAGCAGCTTGCCCAGGGCCTGGGGGCAGGGCTCTCGAGGGGGACGCCAGCGTGGGTCTCCCATGGGAAGGCTGCCCAGGGCTCTGCTGGGATGCTGTCAGGGATGGGGAAGGAGTGGGGACGGAGAGGCCGGTGGGGGATGTGCGTACTAAGAATGAGAAACTGCGAGATGGACACTCGTAAAGGCACCGCCCAGGCTGCTCCCTGGCCTGTCCACCCTCGGGAGTTGGAAGAGGGACACACAGGCACCCCCAGGAGGCGCAGCTGCCAGCCCAGACCCTGCTCAGAGCTGGCTCCCCTCGAGGTCACACCCAAACAGAACCCACTGCCTGCTGGGAGGCGGGGTGGGGTGGTCACGGGGCTCGAGCTGGGGCCCAGGAGCACTCACCAGTGTGTGAGGTAGGGGTGAGGGGGGTGGGAGCAGCCACTTCTTGTGCTCCCCGCAGCCGGCCCGAGGCTGTGGAAGGGAGCCCCCGTGTGGCTGGGTTTCGGGAGTGTCTCAACCGCTCCTCGCGGTCCCGGCGTTCCCGCTCCGCATCGTCAGCAGCCCGGCTGGCACCCTAGGCAGGCAAGAGGCGGCCAGAGCTGAACAGGGCTGCAAGACAACCCAAGGCCTTGGCCAGCCGTGGGCAAACTACGGCCCGCGGGCCGGATCCGGCCCGTTTGAAATGAATAAAACTAAAAAAAAAAAAAAAGACCGTACCCTTTTATGTAATGATGTTTACTTTGAATTTATATTAGTTCACACAAACACTCCATCCATGCTTTTGTTCCGGCCCTCCGGTCCAGTTTAAGAACCCATTGTGGCCCTCGAGTCAAAAAGTTTGCCCACCCCTGGCCTTGGCTGTCCCTGCCACTTGAGACACACCAGGGGCATTTGGAACAAGTCGGAGCCAGCGAGATGTCTCTCCCTCCAGGGCAACGCTCAGCCCATCCCAGTCCCGAGTGGGGAGCGAGCAGCCAGGCCTCCCCCGACTTCCCAGGGCAGCAGAGAAACCCCACGATGACTACAGCACTTTCTCCAACCCCAACCCCGGCAGCGGGGGGCCCTCTGCTGTCAGCATTCACAGGGACAGGAAATCGTCGGAGGGTGTGAAGTCGGGAGTCTGAGAAGCAGGCATGAGCGGCAGTCCACTCGGCCCAGACCTCGAGCCCAAGGCAAAGGTGACGTTGGTGCTCACGTCACGAGGAGGGCAGAGGCCAGGCCTGTCCTGGGAGGGCCACGTGGAAGACTCAGGCACAGGCAGCCACTTCCACTCTCAGGGAGGACCAAGCCACTGCACGGCACAGCACGTCACGTGGTACAGCGAGGCTACCGCACACTGAAGCTGACACACGATTCCCAGCCCTACCAGGCAAGAGAGTCTGCAAACTTTGGCCTTCGGGCCAAATTCAGACCCATCTGTTTCTGCACACGTTTCACCCACACACCGCCCACAGGCTTCCCAGCTACAACCGAGCTGGGCGCTGCGGCACTGTCTGACTGCAAAGCCAAAATACCGCCCTAGGTGGCCTTTTACAGCCCTGATGAGAACGGGGCTCCGACGGGCTCTGACCGGAGGCCCACTCTGATGTCAGACTCTAGGCCCCTGCTCCCACCCCCTGGCTCTCCGTGGACGAACAGGCCAGGTCTGTGTCAGGCCGGCTCCGTGGCGGACTCTCCCCGCTGGAGGCTGCAGCCTCGAGGCCGGCCGCACGGAGCCTGCGCCCAGGGCAGGGACAGGCTTCCTGTTTTGCACCCGGAGAGGAGGCTCTGCTCCTCAGACTGTCACCATGGAAAGGTCCCAATTGCTATTTTAAGCTCACAACTAAAGAGAACGAGTTTTAATGAAAGAGGAAGGGGAAGTTCTAAAACAACTGGGCTTCTGGCCGTGATGCCCGCAGATTAACTAACAACTCACAGACCCAACTTGGATGGGAACAAATTAAAGTTCAAACTCCGCCCCCACGCCCTGCAGCATTCCCGCAGGCAATTAAGGAACAGACCACAAGTCTAGCTGATTGCAGGGCCAAGGTCAGACTCAACACCCAGCACCTTCCCAGGCCACACACCGGTGCAGAGGCCTGTCTCAGCCGCTCCTCCTGCATAAGGAACACGCAGGCACCACACAGCAACACCCCAGGGTCAAAACCACACACCCGAGAGCTGATGGTAACACTAATACAGTGTTGGAGCGGTCTGGCTCTGGACACCCCCGCGCCTGCCTGCCTGCCTCTGCCTCCCCTCGACGGGCACTTTGCTGCTTGGGACCTCTTCCCTTCAGGAACCTCCCGGCAGGAACGCCAGCTCCAGTGCAGCAAACGTGCTCCGAACCCAAACCTCAGGCAGCTCGCCTCACGCACGTGAGCCAGACAGCCGCAGCCTTTGGCCGATGGGCTGCTCCCCGTCCGCCTGGGAAGGTCAGCAAGCTGGCGATGCTACTTACAAACTTGAGCATGTTCCAGTCGAACACGTAGTCGTAGGAGAAGCCCTGGCGATGGAACAGGTTCCTGAAGAGCTGTCTCAGGTACGAGTAGTCAGGCTTGTCATCAAAACGCAACGAACGGCAGAAATTCAGGTACGTGGCAAACTCGGCTGTAAAACAAGACACTCGGAGCTAAGCAGCAACACCCGACTGGGAACCGCACGGCAACAGGTAACGTCACTGTTTACCACCCACCCTCCTCACTTGGGGGCAGCCCCGCACAGCAAAGGGAAATGCCCTGAGCTGCAGCTCCAGATGTTCCGGAGAACCGGACACCCGCCAGACGAGGGGCTGGCCTGGGTCACCCTCCCTCGGCCCTGCATGCGCAGGCCTGAGGCCACTCACAGGGGTAGCCTTTGCACAGCACTTCGATGGGTGTGGACATCTTCTTCTCACTGATGCGCTCGTATTTCTGCCTCTTGGTGGCAGCCTTCAGCCCCTGCCAGGGCAGGGAGCCCAGGTTGAAGTACATGAGCACATAGCCCAGCGACTCCAGGTCGTCCCTTCGAGATTGTTCTGGAAAGAGGAGGAAATGAGTAAAGCTTGGCCCAAGCCAGCAGCAGCAAGCACACACACACTGTGGAAAATGAACTCTAAAAACCACAAAAAAATACACTTGGACTCTTTGCTGAAGAATCTGCCCGGATGAGCTATTAGAGAACTGTGGCTCCCAGATGAGCCACACCCGTGTCCCAGCTGCCAGGAGCCCCGTCCACCTGCCCACCCACCACGCCTCAGAGTCCCAGCACGCCGGTCCCTGAAGCCCGCCTGCTCCCCACGGGCCGACTCCCAGTTCCCGAGGCCGGCCTTTCCGAGCTGAGCCCGACAGGCCAGGCAGCCGCGGCCAGCGGCAAGGCTCACCGATTCCAAGGTGCGTGTTGATGGAGGCGTACCGCGCCGTCCCGGTGAGGTTTTTGTTCTCACGGTAGGGGATGTGCTGGTGGGTCCTGGCGTCCCGGTACTTCTTGGCCAGGCCGAAGTCTATGATGTAGACCAGGTTGCCCTTCTTCCCCAGCCCCATGAGGAAGTTATCTGGCTTCACGTCGCGGTGGATGAAGTTCTTCGAGTGAATGTATTCGATCCGACTGATCTGCAGGAGAGCCACAGGGGGTCAGCCTGACAGTGCGCGGAGGCGGCTCCTGCCCGCAGCCAGGGCCCTGCTGGAGCTGCGTGTCGCACCCTCGGCTGGGGCAGTGCGCCATCATCGGATGGGACACAACCCACCACCCTCACCACAGCCACACCCCACACCCGGGGGTTCCCTGTGGTGGGCTCTCCCGGGGGACGGACAGCAGCAGCCGTCCCTCTGCGGCCCCATCTGCCGGGAGGCAGGCCCCACACCTGGGTGAGCTGTGCCGTGTCCACGGTGGCTCTCCAAACCCAGCCCACCTGTCACACCTCATGGCAATGGTTAATGAACACCTCCCTCCTCCCTGTGCAGGACAGGCGGGGGAGAGGGGCCGCGAGGCAGCGCTTACCATCTGGTCGGCCAGCAGCAGGACAGTCTTGAGACTGAACTTCCTCGAGCAGAAGTTGAAGAGGTCTTCCAGGCTGGGCCCCAGCAGCTCCATCACCATGACGTTGTAGTCCCCCTCCGCCCCGCACCACCGGATGGTGGGGATGCCCACTGGAAGAGACACGGGTTTCAGGGCGGCCAGGGGTGGGGTCAGAAGACCCTGACACACCTGCGCTCACATGTGACTCCCTGACCAGGGTCAGGTGGGCAGTAGTCACGGGACACAAGGTGAGAACACGATGCCCACTTTGTGGGTGAAGGGTGGGCAAATGCAGGACAGAGAAGGAGGGGCAGCGAAGAGAGGGGTGTGAGGGGTGTGGGCGGAAGCAGCGCCCAGGGACCCAGTGGTCAGCATCCTCTGTGAGGGTGGTGCATGCACCAATCGCGGGAGATGCACAGAACACTCACATCCGACTTGCAGAGAGGAACCCTGCAAGGTGCACGGTGGGAACACACGGGTGGGTTCCCAGCAGGCCCGACCCTGTGGGCCTGAAGGCGTGTGACACCGAGGAACGACTGGCAGAGCCGACGGAGCTGCAGCTGGGACAACTGCAAGGCACCGCCATTTCTGTGACCAGAGCGCCCAGGAGAGGAAAGAGAAGGGACGGGGACAGACTTCACACGGGAAGAAATAGCCCGATGATGGCATTTAACCCGCAGGCCCCAGGAAAGCATCATGAAGACCATCACACGGCCGTCCCGACAGGCCAAGTGCTCACAAAAGTGACAGAACATCCGGGAGCAGCAGGGAAGAGGCCCCACACTGAGGAGCGAAGAGGCGGGGAGTGCGGCTTCTCCTCAGAACGGGAGGCCTGCCTCGAGCGCTGAGGACACACTGCATCCCAGAGGCACAGGCTGCAGAAGCCGCCAGCAAAGACAAACAGACGTGCGCAGCCACCTGCAGGCCTGCTCTGCTCCTGTCCACGAGCCAGCGGCAGGCGAGGCCACAGTAACGTAGAACAGTGAGCCCCTCAGGGCCTGCGGCTGCGCAGAAAGGCCTGCATGGCCCCAAACCCACAGCCTGACGGACACACGTGAGAACCAAGTCCCCACAGCAGCTCCCAGCACCAGAGACGATGCTGTTGGAGGACCTGCCACCCCGGTGGGCACTTCCCCAGATTAGAGACAGAGCAGGCGCTCTCTCTGCACAGACATACACTGGGTGCCCGACAGGCAGGACAGACAGGAGGACAAAAGAGCACAGAACACACATTAGCATCACACGCAGTAGATGGCGGAGACTCTGTCATTTCACAGTGACAAAGGCATCCATTCATCAAGAGAACCAGCTCTAAGCCTCTGCAGTTAACAGCACCGCAATACAGGAAGCAAAGCGACAGGAAGACAAGCCCGTCTGACTGAGCTCAGTCCCGTGCGCCCGACACCAGACAGGCCTCGCTGAAGGCAAAGGGCCGGCGCTGTGGAGTGCGCTCAGACAGCAGCACCCCTTAGAAACAGAACGGAGCTCTGCAACGTCCCCAAGTTATCTGGAAGCTCCGTCAGGCACTTCAGAACTGGTGCCTGCCTGTCCCTCGGCGGTGCGGGCGCCTCAACACAGGGACAGCGGCAGCCCTCACCCTGAAGTCACACAACTGGGTGTCTCCCCAGGTCTTCCCGCTGCTGTCCCTTTGCTGGAGCTCAGGGAGTCTCGTCCTTTGCAGCCTCCATGAAACCATGGATTGCCAACTGGTTTGCTGGTGAGCAGGCTGACATCGCAGACACTGCAGTCCTTGCTCACAGCCAGCACCAAGCATCCAGCCCGGGAGTGGCAACGAGGCCAGGGATGTCAGAGGCAGAGACATGACTTCTGCTGGCGAGCAAAACAAATGCCGCTTTGCACACAGGCACCACGTTAAACAGCCCTGGATCCAGGGAGAGATCAGAAGGGGGTTAGAAAGCGTGTGGGACTAAGTGAAATGGGGACCCAACACAGCAGGACTCAGGAGACGCTGCGACAGTCGTACTTGGGGGAATCTGCAGCAAGTGAACACCTGTGCTAGAAAGAGATCAATGATCTCAGTTTCTATCTGAAAACCTAAGAAACCCAAAGTTAGCAGAAATAAAAGGTCACAGTAGAAATCAATGAAATAGGAAACTTACTGAAACCAAAAGCTGGTTCTCTGAGAAGATTTTTGATAAACCTCTAGTCAGACTGCTAGGGAAGAGATACAAGCTACCACATCCAGACGACGGGCTAACGAGACTGAACGTTCACAGGCTGATAGGAAACATGGGAACAGCTTCGTGCCAGTAACTCCAACTCACACAAAATGGACAATCTGAAGAGCACAACCACCCAAGCCGGCTGCTGACCACGAGAAGGCCCAGCAGCGGTGGGCGCGCCCGACACCCGGGACGCACAGCACAGACGCGTCCAGCAGTCCTGCTCCTTCCAGACACTAGGAAATGCAAACCAACCGATGGCAGCAGAGCAGTGGTGACTTGGCAACAGAGGGAGGGAGTGGAGGGACAAAGGGGGACCTAGAAACTTCTGGGAGTGATGGAGACAGCAACTCTCCCAGTCACGGAGATGGTTCCATGAGGGTATCAACACGGCAAAACGTATCACACTGCACACTTAAAATAAACGCACGCCGAAACCGGTTTGGCTCAGTGGATAGAAGCGTCAGCCTGCGGACTGAAGGGTCCCGGGTTCGACTCCGGTCAAGGGCATGTACCTGGGTTGTGGGCACCTCCCCAGTAGGAGGTGTGCAGGAGGCAGCTGATCGATGTTTCTCTCTCATCGATGTTTCCAACTCTCTATCCCTCTCCCTTCCTCTCTGTAAAAAAGTCAATAAAATATATATTTAAAAAAATAAATAAATAAACGCAGCTGATTACACCTCAGTGAAGCCGACTTAAAAAATAAACATTTTCCAGTCTCCCTCTTTGGAGGTGGCTCCTGGTGAGGTGAGGCACACGCCCACCGCCGTCGGCACCACGTGCTCACGAGGCCTCTCCCACTGGAATGACATCCGCACAGGACCCACGGCTGGTCTTGCGGGTCAGTTCCCAGGCCCGTTCCCGTCTCCGTGTGGGGGCAGCACCTGTGGCCACAATGTGTCCCAGAAGCTGTGCCGTCCTTCACAGCTTCCCCCACCCGGGTCCCATCAGGGCCACCTGTGGTGTGTGGTCACCACAGACCTCTGGTGCTCGGGCAGCTTCGCAGGACAACCACTTTGGATGTGCCTGCTTGCTGGCCGGACCCCTTGTCAGCTGCTGCCCGCGGCTCTTCACCATCCACTCTCCGCTACCGTCCTCCGTGGGCGAAGCTTCAGGGTGGGCTCACACCCGCTCCCTGAAGGTGCCTGCAGGCATCGGTGACTCCTGCTGGGACCCATCAACAAAGCGGCAATTTCCCACTCGACAGTTCCCTCTGCATTTTTCTGTGGAGCTTCCTGTGAGCGCACACTCTGGAGTCACGAACGCTCCTCCCTTCTCCCAGGGGCTGGAGTTACTCGTTCTGAGGTTCCAGTTATCCCAAGTTTGGCCAACAGATGCCCCTCCAAGCTTGCTCCTGTGTCCTCTGGACATGTGCCCACTGGCCTGAGAACTTTCCCTGAGCCACCCAGCCTGCTCGACTGCCTCACCTCCTCCTGCCCAGCCCTTGTGAGACCAGGCTCCTGTGAGAAATGACACCAGAAGCCATTATCTGGATGCCAGGCGTGCTCACTGCTTCGGGCTGTCACTCCTTCCAGCCTGAGTTTTGATCTTCTCGGGGCACATGCCTTCCTCGGGAGTATTCAGTCAGTCTCGGACCTTGGCTATCCCGTGAGTTCTCGAGTCAGCTTGTCATGTTGAAGAAACACGCTGCTGGACCTGGACGGAACCCTGCTGGCCGAGGCACTCTGGGAGGAACACTTGTAAGTCGTCTTCAGTATCCTCCAGTCAAGCTTTATATTTTCCGCACACAGGTCTTGTGTGTCTTAAGATTTATTCCTAGACACCTATGGTTTGTATTTGGCTAAACTATTAAGAATTAAACTTCAGCTTGGCCAGTGTGGCCCAGTGGTTGAGTGTCAACTCTTGCACCAAGAGGTTGCCGGTTCAATTTCTGGTCAGGGCACAGGCCTGGGTTGTGAGGTCAATTCCCAGTAGGGAGTGTGCAGGAGGCTCACTTATGTTTCTCTCTCTCCCTCTAAAAAACCAATCCATTAAGAAAAGTAATTACACTTCAGTTTCTGGACTTCTCAGGGGCCAACAGCCATCTGACCAGGACCCTGGGGCTCAGCAGACTGTGGGCTGTGTCCACCCAGCAGTTTGCAGGTGGCCGTGCCAAGGTGCTGGGAGCCGCAGCTGCTGCACGGGGCTGGCATCCGTAAGTGGGTCACCACGCACACGGGATCAGGCTTCCTGTCTGCGCCATGACCACGCTTGACCCCGGTGCACTCTGAGCCTGAGCAGGCTCTCCAGGGAGGCTTTAGAGCCTGAAGGAGCGTGAGGCAATGGAGGTGGGCTTCCAGAACTCCAAGGGCCTGGAATCTCTCCAGCGACTGGCCCTGGTAGGTGTTCTGTCCCAGGGGTAGAAGATGGAAGGAGACAGAGACAAGCACCACAGCTGTGGAGGTCTAGACCGTTGTGCCAAGGAACCAAGCTGGCCCTCCAACCTCAGAGGTGCCCCTCCTCCCAGAGCATCAGCCACACGGTGGCCCAGCTCACAGGGAAAGCCAAGCCAGCCTGCCTCTGGGGAGGAAGAGCCACAGCCCTGCCCCACGAGGCGGCCCAACGGCCGGGTCTCAAGGAGCATGGAGAGTGGAAAGGGTGGATACTGCGTCGAGCAGGGTCCACAGCATCCTCCTCCTCCCTCTGCAAGGGGAGCAGGCAGCCAACCATCCTCTGTGCAGGTGCCCCGCGGGCGTCAGGGACACCCCAGAACCTCAGCTGGAAGCGGCCTGAATAGGGAAACTGTTTTCCTTCGAAAGAGGAGAGGAGGACCTTGCCTGTGCGGAGTGAAGCAATGAGGTGAGAGAGCAGTGACGGCCCAACCCCCAGCCCTGTCTTCTCTGGGAGGGAGGGTCTCCGAGCAGGGTTTTCCACCACTGGCTTCCTCGCTCTGGGGTCAGGTGCTGAGCTGCCCCGGTCAGTGGGTCAGGATGAGACAAAAGGGGGGGGCTGGGGACCAGCTGCAGGTCTGCTGCTCCTACACTCCCATGCGCCCCACTCCAGCCAACACCACTCTATGCTGCTCACTGGGACAACTGCGCTGTGGTCCACACTCCCAGGCCAGCGGCCCCAGTTGTGTGCTGACACATCTTGTGCGACTGGCTTTCTCCCTGAAGTACATGTTCTGCACTGCTTGTTCTCCGGCTCATGAGCAACGCGAGGGCTGAGTCGGCAGCCGCTCAGGCCTGCACAGCAAGAACATGGTGTCCTGTCACCATGGAGACCACCTATCGGAGTGCACAGCCTACCCAACCAGCTCACTTTACCAATCAGAGCTGCTTCTCGGGCAGTGCCCTCTTGAAAGCCCCACATCTTCAATGTATCACAGGAGACAGTTTTAACCGGGGGCCCCAGGATGTCACCTCCTCCTGGGAGACTGGCAATGGGTGTGAACAGGAAGAGGCTAGACGAGGGTGTTGACAGGTGAGGAAGGATTCCTGTTCAGACCCGCTTCCCCCACCAGATCCTGCCTGTGGGGCCAGGCCCCCCACGTCACAGGGCTCATGTCTGTAAAACCCTGAGTTGGTCCGATGTTCTAAGAAGACCTCTGCACCCATCCCAAAGGCTGCTGGCTACAGGAAGCAGGGCCCGGTCCTTAACCTTCCCGGTGTGGCCCGAGGTGCCGGACAGCAGAGGGTGCCGTCGCGGAAGGAGAACAGGGTGCAGCCTGCGTGCTGGCTCCCGGGTCGGGAAGGACGAGTGCAGCAGCACACCGGGCGACAGGAGTCTGATCCTGCTCTGCCGCCCACCCCGTCGAGGCGCCAGGATTTGGTGACTGGCCACCAGGTGGGCCCGGCTGGTGTAAAGACAACGTGTTGTTTTTCTCGTGTCCTGGGCTTCACTGTTCACACACTCCTCCTCTACTGCGGGAAGACTCGCCAGAGCATCTTTGACAGGAGGGTCACACCACGCAAAGAATCTGAAACAGGCTTGCTTGCAGCAGGGTCCTGAGCCCTCCTTTCTTCTTTTTCTCCTCTTTCCCTATTTTATTTTTAAATATTTTTATTGATTTAGAAAGAGAGGAAGAAAGAGGAAGGCAGAAACATCGCTGTAAGAATGAAACATCGACTGGATGATTGAGCCTGCAAACTGGGCATGTGCCCTGACAGGGACGCGAACCGGCAAGCTCTGGTGCCCAGGACGCCGCCCACCAGCTGAGCCGCACTGGCCAGGGCACTCTTCCCTGTCTCCTATTTGGACCAGGTCTGTCCTAAAAATGGACTCCTACCCCCGCCCCCCGCCTCTATTCCTCCCGCCCCCCAGAAAAAGACCACACTTCTACACATTTAATTTCTGGGAGTCTCCATAACGCTTCAATGATTTGTGTCATATTCTGAAAAAGCTGGAAATAGTCCATCCACTGCTCCCAGCCTCCTGAGGTCAGACCATCCTTCCTTGATGGGACTCGTGCAGGCACACCTGACTTTAGATGGATCGGAGCTGCTTTAACCTCTAGTCCAAGGCAGGGGGAGGGGGCTGCCAGTAGACAGTGTGGTCGAGAGAGGAAGGAAGGGAAGAAACTTTTGTCAAAGTCGACACAAGGCTGCTTCCTAGGAGACAGACGAATGCAGCTCTGGATTCACTGCTAGAAACCAGAGCTTCGGGTGAAATCTTGAATTTATGGGGAGGAGAGGGAAGCATGGGCTTATCTGTCCTTTTCCAGACCCCTCGAGGTTGGGGACCTGCAGAGAGAGCTGCGGTGCATTTTGCTGGACTGGTGCTCACTCCTCACCTGCTGTCCCTGTGGACCACACGCTGACCCTTTCCCCGGGTCAGCAACAAGCGACCTGCAGTACCCACGGGGACGCACGCAGAAGGCTGGTTAACAGCAGAGCCCCTGCTCTCTGGGCAAAGCGATGCCCACTTCCTCTCTGCCGGGCGCAGCGTGGTCTCGGTCTCGGTCAGTGAGTTCACAGACACTCCCAGAGGCGCTCGCTTTTCTGGATACAATCATTCTCTCACACACAGGCCTGCCCTGTGGCTGGGGTGGCTCAGTGACTAGAGCGTCACCCCTCGGACTGAAGGGTCTCAGGTTCGATTCTGGTCAAAGGGCACATGCCTCAGTGGCAGGCTCGACCCCCGGCCCCGGTCGGGGTATGTGCAGGAAGCAACCAAGCGATGTCTCTCACATCGATGTTTCTCTCTGTCTCTCCCTGTCTCTTCCACTCTCTCTAAAAATCAATGGAAAAATATCCTCAGGCGAGGATTAACAAAAAAATAAAGTTAATAAAAAAATGAAGCAAAACACAAGTCTTACACCTGGATAGCAGCCACTGGGGGTGCGTCTGAAACTGGGGGATCCGGATCTGTGTGGGGAAGGGCAGAGTCCGGGTGCACTGGCAGGTCCCGGAGAAGGGCCAGGGGAGCTGGGAGCAGTGGCACCGGCTCCTAGAGCAGGGTTCTGGCGGGAAGCAGGGCTGGCCCCAGGCACTGAGCTCCGTCCAGAGACGTGTCAGATCCTCCTGGCCGGGGTGAGGGGTGCTCCTGCCTGTGCAGATGACGGGGTGCCCTGGCGTGGGAGTTCAGAGGTGCTGCTCGTTGGGAGGGTCTAGCCCCCCCAGCACCAGGCTCCTCCCCCATGACGGCCACACCCTGAGTCCCTCGTTCTACTCGTCACCACCTTAAAAGCTGTGCCTGAGAAACTTCCTTCTGCTGCGGCCGCTGGCGGGCAAGCACCCTGGCCGGGTCCTCTGCGGGCCTCTCCCTGGGACGACAGGGGCAGAAAGTTTTTACCCGTGTGCCAGTCGAAGGCCTCTCTGCTCCCATAAACGCAGTGGGACACGTGGACACCCTGTGCAGGGTCCAGCAGGACCGTGTGCTGCTCTGGTCGTCTCTGTTGCTAGAGACACCTGTGCTGCACCAAGTGCTGGTTTCCAGCAGCAGCAGCAGAGACCCCGCTGCTGTGAGGAAAGAGGTCACAGCCCTGCAGGGAGCCCCGGGGAGCGCCCCCCAAGAAGCGCCCCCGGGCTTCTGAGGAGAAGCGGCGCAGCATCCTTCCCAAGGCCCTGCGCCCAGGTCCCTTGGGGAGCAGCAGACAGTCCTCTCCAGGCTGCAGCGCCTCCACAATGGAGACTCCCTTATACACCCCACCTCCTGCTCCATCCGCGAAAATATTTTCCAGTCCAGAAAATTCTAAAAGTTAGACTCTGAGGTCAGGATGGGTGCCCTATGCATCAGTACCCTTAGGCCCCAGGGGAGGTTTGGGGACAGAATTGGGACAGTAATTCAGCTCAAAGGGGTTGCAGTAGTTTCACTCAGAAAAGTCTGAAGTCACCCCCCACCTCCCGCCCAGGCTTGTGAACAAACCATGTGACCCAGCTGGCACAGAGCCACCAGCAGTGCTGGAGTCAAAGCCCACGCCGGCCCTGAGCTCAGACACTGCCCCGTGCAGACCAGGGAAGCAGTGCTTGAGCCCGAAGTCCAAGCGAGGAGGCCTCTGCAGCCCGCCTGACAGCTGGGTCCAGGTGTGGGCATCTTCCTCCCTTTCCCCAAACAAGCCAGAGACGCTGGTTCTGGACGCTGCCCCCAAACAACCCTAGTTGTCTCTTAGCAGGTCAAGGCCATACCTCCTCCCTGCATCATTTTGTAGATTTTGCTCTCGATGTGGAGCTGAGGGTGTTTGGTTTTGACACATTCAAGCTTGATGGCAACTTCTTCTCCCGCCACAATGTCCGTACCTTGCAAAGGAAGAAAAGCCAGTGTTAATTACCGGGCGCCCACCACCTAACCCCATGTCACACCGCCAGGAACAGGAGCGCTGTCTGCATCTCCCAAGGACCACAGGATGGTCACACTCCACTTCCTGTCGTGAGAGGTCAGTGGTGCACAAACCCCGTGGAAAAGAACCCCTTTCCCCTTTGAAAACAGGGAGGATTGAACATGTATAGGAAAGTCTCGTTGGTTTCCCACCCCCACCTCCGCAGGGACCCACTCGGATCATGTCACCAGAGACCGAGAAAGCCGATGGGTGCCCTCCACAGCCTCCCGTCTCCCCTGCTCTGAACCGTCCTATCGCCCTGGTGGGCAGCCCCAGGGGCGACTCCATGTGTCCCTGCGACACCTTCCGTGTGGCCCCTCGGCCCCGCACTGCTGGGACAGGCCTGTGTGCACGCGTGCACCGTTCTCTAGAGCAGTGGTTCTCAACCTTGGCTGCACATGAGAATCACCTGGGAATCTTTTTAAAATCCTGATTTCTGGGCCTCATCCTCTGGAAACTCTGTTTCTTTGTTACTCATGTTGTGGCCCCACCCCATAACTAAGAGAATTTCTGGAGGATGAGGCCCAGAAATCAGGATTTTAAAAAGATTCCCAGGTGATTCTCATGTGCAGCCAAGGTTGAGAACCACTGCACTAGAGGGAAGGCTGGTCTCATCAAACACATGACCCCAGCCCACCCAGCCAAGGATCCAGCTCCCAGCCCTCTCAACAGTCAGGCACTCCTCAAACGGGTGCAGATCCCCAGGTGGCAGCGCTCCTCCCTGACCCATCACAGCCAGGCCAAGGGACAGAAGGGGGGGGGGTGCCCTCAGTAAGCCTTGTGATACGAGGCAACAGGACAACACTTGTGTTTCTTACCGACGCTAGACCGGGAGGATGAACTGTTGTTTCCAAAGCCCTGATTATACCTATGCAACACGTACCTGTCATACACCTTTGTTAGTTTTGTACTGAAACTGGCAATACAACGTATGCTAATACCTCCAATTATCAGCCCATGAGTTTCAAGGTAAAATTAAGAGCTTTTACCTGCAAATATTTTATCTTTATTTTCCTCCAATAATGACTTGCAAACCCGACAACCACCCCCTCCGGCTTCACACGTGAATGCTCCAGAGCTCCAAGCTGGCCCAAGGCGGCCTGCAGGCCCTTCCTCGAGGCGCTGTAACTGGAGAGCAGAGGAGTCCTCCGCGCCACGCCGAGGGCGAGGGCGCTGCTGGCTTCCTCACAGGTGCCCTCCAAGCATGAGGCCTGGGAGCCTCCCCAGCAGTGCGGTGCTCGTGAACCACCTACCACTGGCTCCAGCAGCGCGGACAGAGCCTGGACACTCCCTTCCCCAGCGCTCGCCACCTCCGCCTGCTGGGAGACCACAGTGCGATTCATGAGGGACCCTGGGCATCAACGGGTGATGGTCACAAAGCACACTGAGACGCCAGCCCAGGCCAGCAAGCATCACAACAGTGACCGCCTGCAGGAGAGCTGCCTGCTGAGACTAACGTCCAGTAAATGCCCAAGACCCCAAAGAAAAGCCTCCTCTCCTCGCTCAGATGCTGCAGGGGATGGGCCATGTCTAGTGAGCCTGAATCCAAAACCGGTCACCAGTGCAGATTCAGTGGGATATTCCCCACCGACCGACCTCTCCCGTGGCCTCCAGGTCGGAGAGCTTCCTTCCCACTGCAGAGACTCTTGGGCCCTCAGAGACACAATGCACGTCGCTCTGCCTGCCTGCAGTTGGGACCACCTATCCAATTACAAGAGAAATGACTTCACCACAAAATGGACTGTGCAAATGAAAAATGAACTCGAGTTCCTGTGAGGACCCGGAACCCTGAACTGAACTGGCCAGCGCAGGAGGAGCGGATGACTCATCTCACCAGTGACATCAGCAACCCCACACACTCATCACTGCCGCCCCAGCCAGGACACAGGCCCTCAATGAAAAAGCAGCCTGGGCCTGCGCAGACCACCTACCAGACGAGCGCCTCCGAGAGGCAAACACTCCCAGCTCCACGCACTAACACAGAAGAGCTACCCCTGCAAGACAGTCTGTGGGACACATGACCACAGGCAAGTCTGGAACACAGGATTCCCTCCTCCAACCACGTGCCAGGCCTGTGCCAGGATCACACCTGCACTGAGCCGGCCCCCGCCAGGATCAGAGACATGAAAATCTCCCGAGTGCAGCCACTCCAGAAGGGTTCACGTGGGCTCTCGGCCACACAGACATGAAGGTGGCGCACGCCATGGCTGCCTCCCCGGCAGGTCCCACCCACTGGGTGGGAGTCCCGAGCAGCAGCCCTTCGGGTTCTGTGCATTCCATGGACACCAACCATCAGAGGCCACTGGGTAGAACGACCTCTGCAGTCGACAGAGCCCCAGGATCCAGGCGGTGCTGCTCCAAGCCTCGTCCCCAAACTGCCCAGAGCAGGGGGACAAACACAGGACAGCGAGGAGGCACCACGAGCTCTGACAACAAGGTGACATCGCGGCACCACGTTCATCTCATTCTGCACAAGTATTGCTGTGACCAGTTGGAAACTGCAAAACCTGGTGCTTCACAGCGGTGACTTGTGGAAGTGCTTCTAGATGGAAGCAGGAACTGAAGACAACACTGCGCGCTGGTTCCAGGTTCAGCACCCAGTGGTCTGTTTACGCTCAGGTGCCTTAGCTCCCCAACAACCCAACTCTCAATGCCCATCAGGCAAAAGCGGGGCCTCACGAGGCAGTGGGACGTCTATGTTCCGACACAGGTCAATGCTGGTTTTACGAAAACAACACCGTCCCTCAAGTTGACCAGACAAGGCAGATGGTAAATAAGCGAAACGAACCACAAGCTTGACCCCGTCCTGGGACAGGGAGGTAACTCCCATTGAGTGACATCCACGAAGAAACAGGGAGGCCCCGGAACAGCAGGGCAAAGGTCACCCACAGGGTAACTGTTGATCAAGCAGCTGATGCAGTGCCAGGACTTCTCATTAGAGCCCTCAGCCTCCACCCTAGAGGACGCAGGCGATGACCTACTATGTGTTCCACACCTGCCTGGTGCCATCAGGAGAGTGAAAATCAGACATGAAGAGGTTCCTAAACTTTAGCGCCCAAAAAGGTGTTTGGACATGTTGTCGGGTGGACAGTATAGTCCGCCCGGAGATAAACGGACAGAGCAAGTACCAAAGCCAAAAGCTGGCAAAATGAAAACCTCCATTCTGACACCAGGAATGCGGTATCCCAGTCCCCTGCCACCAGAAGACAGGGAGGGGAACAGCTCCGTGAGAAGGGGCTCCCTGCACCCCGAGAGCTGAGCACCCCACAGGCGCTCCATGAGCATGGCTGCACTTCAGAGCAGCCCTGGTGCAGACCACGGCACCACCACACAGGCTGGTCCCTCGCACAAAGCCCCGCACACACTCTTCTTCCCCAGTGCCCATTGGTCACACTGGGCTTTGGAGCACAGCGTCCATATTGGGGACACTGACTCTTCCCTTATTTTCTAATGTCATCACATGGGTAAGGGTACCCTGACAGCAAGTGAAAGGGCTTCAGTCACCCCAGCAACCAGGGCTGACGCTTGTGGAAGCTAAGACGGAGGGAGGCCCAGGAGTGACGGCCCAGGCTCCCTCCTGCGGCACCTGCTGAGTGCTGCACAGGTATGTGAGCACGGAGGCCTTCCCAGGAGCCTCCGGACCTGTCAAGCTCAGGGGAGGAGACTGAGGGTTCAGACCACACGTTTTGGAGTCCACGTTGACCCAAGTCCAGTCCGTCCATTTTCTGAAGCCCAGGCGCTGGAGAAACAGCCCCGAGACCGCATCCTGTGAACGGGCGACTCCGGGAAGCACCACGGGCCTGGCTGGGCAGGAGGGGCAGCACCATTTCTGTGCAGCTGCCGGGAGGACAGGCGGACACTGGAACTTCCTGGTGTGTGAGGCCCGCTCCAGCTGAAGGACAGCCTTCCCTCCTCCCAGTGTCAAAGGTATGGAAGCACAGAAAGTCCCACGTGGACCGCCATGACCCCAAACGCCAGGCTCACAACAGGGTGAGCCTACCCGGTGGAGTCTAGAGCGTTCTGACCAATAGCCAAGTGCCGGCATAAGAAGGACCAAGGACATACCGACTTTCCAGGTGAGGACTCGATGCCTAAACAAACAGAACAGAACTCCGGTCCAGATGACTCAATCCATCCTCTGCTCTTTGGACCTCATCTTTGACCCTTAGCTACAGTATGTGGTGAGCACCTTCAGACCCACCTTCCAGCCAACGAGATCTCTGCACGCTCCTCTCCTCTGGAGTCCACGCAGGTGGGAAAACCCCGCTGTGCTCCGCCCCACACAAGGAGCTCCACGTGAACCCCGGTGCCTCTCTCTGAAGGAGGCAGGAGAGCCACAGGCCACCCACCCAGGCCAGACACACGAGCGGGGCCGGCCCAGCAGGAGGGGAGGCCCGCAGGGAGAGGAGAGTGGTGACAGCAGACGGGGTCCCGCAGAGCTCCCACCCCAGGAGGAGGGCTGACACCTCGGAGAATGGCTCGCTGACAGCTCTTCCCGCGACTCTCGGACACCAGGCGCTGTCCGGCAGCCTCAGACCAGAGGACAAGGACTCGGACATCTACTCTGATGCCCGCAGAAGGGCAGCTCACGGGCTGGCTTCTCCGTCCAGCTCCTCGGTCCCAGGCTGAAAGTGTTGCCCACACCCCCTGTCCCATCAATAAGGCGAACAGCTCGCATTTACGCAGCCCTTGGCCGCCCAAAGCGCTGCCGAGGAGGCAGACGGCTGACAACGGGGCATCAATATTTAAACAGTAGAATCCAAACGTCTCCAAAGTGTATTTTACTGGGAGAGCAGTGGGAGGAAACACAGGTTCAAAGGCAGCAATGCAGCGTGTGGCGGGGTCCCCTGCGGGGGGCGGAGGGCGCCCAGCAGCGGTCGGGCACCTCCCCCGGTGGACTGGACCGGACCGGAGGGGCGGGGACAGCCAGGCCGGACCCTCCTGACAGTCCACCAGCCCAAACCC